GCTCCTTTAAGCCAGAGCTCCCCAACCATGGAAGGAGGCAGAGCAGCTCGAGTCTCTGGATCAACAATCTTAGCTTGACAATTGGGCATAAGCTTCCCTGTAGCTCCTTCTACTTCACATTCGGTTCCACCCATTGTGGAAAACACCCGGCCCACCGTTTCTGTCAACCCATATGCCTTCACCAAATCCAAATAGATTATTAAACGACGTCGTAAAGGCAGTTTGAATTCCTTTTATAGTACATACTAACCTGCGCAAACATCACCTTCGGTAACCGTCCCCCCAACTTCTCGATGAGGCCTTTTCTCAACGGAGCTCCGCCGGACCCAATAGCTTCGAGCGAGCTCAAATCGTAGCCGTCCATCACGCCGGATTCTCTCACCATCGCAACAATCACCGGTGGGGCAACTGCCACATGGCTGACTCTGAACTCCTCGATGGTTCCACACATCGTTCCCAAACCGAACCTCCTTCCGCCACCAGCTATGACCACAGTCTCCCCCATCGCTACCGCCCTCACGCAGTACGCGAAACCGTACACGTGAAACAGAGGAACCGTACAGAGATGAATTGGAGGAGTCTCCCTCATCGGACGCAACGCCAAGGTTGACGCAGCCATTGCAATCCAATTCCTGTGAGTCAATTCCACTCCTTTGACTCGTCCGGTCGTGCCGGATGAGTACAGAATCGTGGCGACATCTGATTGGCTTACTTGAATTCCTTCGGCTTCCTTTGCTCCATCCCCATTCTCCATTAACAACTCGAACTCCACCGAATCAACGTGAACAGTTCCATACCGAAGCGCTGGTATTTTCGGAGCTGTATCTAACGTGGCAAACGCAATTACCGGCTTCGAGAGCTGAACATAGTGTTTAATCTCTAGAATCGTGCTGGCCGGATTGGCGGGAGAGACAGCGACGCCGAGGGAAAACAGAGAGAAGTAAAGAATAGGAGTACAGATACTGTTAGGGGAGATGATGAGTGCAGAGTCGCCTCTGCAGAGGCCGAATTTGGTACGGAGGGAGGAGACTAGGTTTCTTGTGCGGAGAATGAGGTCCGAGTAGAGGATACGGTGGCGAGTGCCGGCGTCAATGAAAGCGGACGCTGTCGGCGGCGGAGGGGAGGAGTTGAGTAAGGAGAAAACGTAGTCTGTGACAGAGAGAGGCGCGGATTCGGGCGGGAGTGGGACTGGGGAACGGCGGGTGTGGAACGTCATGGTGTTGGAGCAGAATCCGGTGTTTGGATCAACGGAGGGGTTGTTTGGATTTGGATCATGATTCGGCGGCATTTCGGCGGACTAGAGTTTTGTATGGTGTGGAGGAATTCGTATTTTGGAGAAATGGAAATGATGCAAATATTAATTTGGGGGAAGAGGTTCCGTTTCAAACTTCCATTCAGTTCAGTATTGCAATTGCTGCATTTTTCACAGCCCTAATGCAAAATACACTAGGGACAAAGGCCAAATGCGGCTGAATGTAATATAGATGGTCCCCGATTGGTCATTTCATCAAATTCAAAACGTGACATGATAGCTACTAGTATTTTTTTT